CCTCTCTTCCTGCCAAAACAATATTACGGCTGGCTTTATTTTTTAAATGGGATAATACAGAAGAAGCATGATAAAGAATGACCCCTTATAGCCCCGTGTTGTAAAAATAGCCGTTGGCAATACAATGGTGCCTGTTTTTCCCCTCACATTTTGCATAAAAGTACATTTTTTTAAATGAAATTGGGAAGATGACAGGAAGCACTGATTGAAGCCATTCTGTGTACCGGGTTCTGTAGCTCTTTGTTAATCATTTGTTCTTCACAGTGACTGGAGAACACTGTGTGTGTGTGTGTGTGTGTGTGTTTGTGTGTGTGTGTGTGTGTGTTTGTGTGTGTGTGTGTGTTTGTGTGTGTGTGTATGTGTGTGTGTGTGTGTGTGTGTGTTTGTGTGTGTGTATCGGGGGAGAACTTTGAGTGTCCTGCTCACTTATTCTCCACTGTATTCTTTTGATTCAGGCTCTTCCACTAAGCCTGAAGCTAGCCTAGAAACCAGGAAGCCCCAGCCATCCCCGGGCCTCCACACTCTCCATGGCACGGGGGTTATATGTGTGTGCGCAGCCGTACCCTGCCTTTTTATGTGGATGCTGGGGATTTGAACTCAGGTCCTCATGCTTGAACAGCAACCTTTACCCTCCCCAGCCCTGCTTGAAAAAATCTTTAAGTCCGTTTCACAGAGGGGGAAACTGAGGCAAGGAGAGAGTCCTTTTCAGCAGCCGTGCGGTCTACCAGGAAAGTGCCAAGATGAAAGAGCATGCCGTCTGCCTCCAGGGCCCTCTGTCTGAACTGTGCCGCCGACACCAGCTTCGATTTGTCGTTTGCTGTATTTCCTCAAATTATACAGCATTCGCTCTAATGTCTATCCCCCCCACACACACACATTCTACAGATCTACAGATTGGGAAATAGAGCCTCACGCGTGTGACTTAGTTTACCCAGAAGCATGTAACTAGTAAATCAGTGCCGGGACAAACCCACATTCCCTCGTGCGTGCAGTCCGTATCCATGCTGACTGCTGGTGGTCTGGGAACCTCTGACCTCCTCCCGCAGCCTGATTCTGAAAGCAGGTTGCACTATCCCCTGCCAGTTCCAGGATAAGCAATGCAGGGAGGGCTCCGTCTTCCTCGCACATACAGCGTTGTCTCCGTTGACACCCAGGAAACCTGTGGGCGTTGAGTGTCGAAAACCGGCTTCGACAAAACTCATAACGCTCCAGGGTGGGAGCATGGGGACTGTATTAAGCAAAAGGAACAGAGACATGGGAGAAATAAGAGACAGAAACATAGAACAGCATTGGGAGGGACATTCAGTGAATACTCAATTCCTTGTTTATAGTCTTCCACATGCTTATATACTTCAAAAGAGGAAGGGAGAAGGCAACAGACCTCATTAAGGTGACACAAGGAATAGATTTGAAGTCTCTGACCCTTGTTCCAGGTGGAGCAGATCCTCTACACCCAAAATACTAATTAACCACACCCTAGGTCAGAATATCTCGTTTGCGGCCACACCTGTTGACAACAACTTTGAGAGAGCAAAAACAAGCTCAGACTCTCTGACCTCCAGTCCTGGTAGAACGGGCTCACCTCTGTGTGTGCCCCGAAAATTGAGAAATGCATACCTGGCCCTCAATTATCTCTGCAATGGCCAGGCTTTATATAAGAGATCAAAACATGCACCCCCCCCCCAACAGTTCCGCCCCTCTGCAAGTGTTTTTAACTGAGATTTGCTGGCAGGCAGTAAGACGGACTGATTTGAGCTTTAAGTGCTGTTGGCTTTCCCCAACCCAGAGTCTTGAGGACATGCCAAGCATTGTTGCGACTTTAAAGTAAGGCAGAAGTCAGTTGGCCTCCTGGGGGTAAACACGGCTCTGTACATAAGGTTGCCCCAGACCTGTAGTCTTTAAGAGAACTGGGCCCATCACCTTGGGACTACCTCGGTGACTGACCGGCCGAGGGGTGTGGAGAGCTGATGAAAGATGAGCTGGTGGTTCAGTAAGACCAGTAAGGAAGACTTCCTGATGCATTTTCCCAGGTAAACCGGCTAACGTTTCTCTTCAGACATAGTGGGAGAATTCTCAAAAGAAGAATGTCACTTGTTTTTTAGATATTTATATAACTTAATGCAATCTTATCTGTGAATTCTAGGACAAGAGCAAGTGCCTAGGAGTCATAAACAGGGTTGGGCAAAAAGAAAAAAAAAGGCAAGAATGTTGTGTAAATAGGCCAAACCAATGGACTCCTTGGGTTCCCCCTGGAGGAAGAACCATGCAGCTGTGATTGACAGGGCCTGAAAGTGCTTCTGTTCTGCTTTAAACTCAATGCAATTACGCAGAGCAACGTGTTCAGTTTGTCAATGTTCATCGCACTTTACATACCAACATCTTTCCCGAGTGTAAGTTATACTTCGTTTAAAGGCTGGAAGTCCTTATTTGGATTTGTGTATATCGTCACCCAGGGCTACTCAGGTTTCTTTCTAGTTGAATCTGTTTGGAACAATCTGGGTGCTTAGAAATGGCTCTACCTAGAATTGTCAGGGCTGCATGGCCAGAACACCTGAGGCTGTGTTTTTTATTCTATGAATCGATGTCTTGAAGGACTTCGGTGTAGACTCCTTGAAATAGAGGATGATGTCACTTTAGTTGATCAGTTGTTGACAACCCTTTGTGAATAAAGGAAGTGCTGACCAAGGCTGGGTACAGCTGTGACGTCACCTCTCCCTTTTCGCCCTCCGGCCAATGACTGATGGTTAAAGTACAGGGATGAGCAATAAGGACAGGATTAAGTAGGACCACGCGATAAAAGGGCAATAAGAAGGCTCGCAGAAAGAAACTGCTTCCTCCGGCACTGGGGAAGCTTGGGGAAAGAGGCATCTGAGTGGCTGTCAGAAGCACAGTAGGATCTTGATAAGAAGATGAGTAGCCGACACCGTGAGAAAGCCTGTAGGGTGCTCACATTCTCCACTCATTGCCGACTGGCTCCCTTAGGATAAATGGCATCCCTCAATGCAACCGAGATTTGAAAGGTGAGCTGGGGCCTCACACCGACTGGGTGGTGTGGTCTCGATTGGGAGGTCTTAGGAGGTTACGGTCAGTCTGTTATCTCCTGCAAAGTTCAGTTCCCAGCCAGCCTCATGGCTGCACAGCCCCATGAACTGCCCTGTGTGCCTCAAATCAGCATTTTCTAGGTTCCGTGCGTTTTTGTTGTTCTCGTGTGGGCCCTTTGCTCTTCCAGCTCAGCCACGGTTACACAGCTTCTGTGAGCTCGCTATGAACGCCCTTCTGGGACCCGAAGATGGCCAGGTACCTGACACTCCTCCTTCCTGACCAAACAAAGCTACCATTCCTCTGTCCACTTCTTACAGGCATCTTGTTTTCAAGTCTCACAATGGTTTGGCATTCATGTCCTTCCAGCCTGACTGGCGTGGTCCTTCATGATGCTCTTTCCACCAGAGGAAACAACGTGAAAGGGTCCGTTTCATGGCAACCGTGTGTAGGAAGAGAGGTCAAGAGAGCACACTAGCAAATTGTGCAGGTTTTGGAGGAGGCCTCCCTGCTAACCTTGACCTGCTGGCAGAATCACTTCCTCTTGATAAGGCACTGGGCAGGATTTAGAATGGTGACAAAGATTTCATACTCGGTGTTGAAACGGGCCTGTATTGGGTCACTCAGACACTGTGAGGTCTGCCTGTTTAATTCCTTACTTTTGCTACTAGCTTACTGGTCCCTTTACAGTATGGGAAGGGGTACCTTCTGCCAGCTATTGCCTGATCTCCCGTTGGGTACCGTCAAGATATTATTCTTATCACGGGGATATTAACGCGACATCTGAGATGTTCCCGTTTAGATACTATCATTGGAGTTTCTGTTCAGACTCTACAGTGGCTCGTTTTTCCTCCTCTGAGGACAGTATCAGAGTAATAAGGTTTGAGGCAGCTTGGATGCAAACCCTGGCTCTGCAGCACTCGGTTTCTACGTGTGTGTGTGTGTGTGTGTGTGTGTGTGTGTGTGTGTGTGTGGCTTTAGCATGATCCTTGCCGAGCTTGGTAATAAAGATCAAACAAGATGATCCGTATAGACACATCAGCAAACTTAGTGCACTGTCTGGTTTCGACCTTCCCTCTTAGACCACAAACATCTAACCCCCGACCAAGATGCCCAATGCTCCTTCATAGTGCTTTGTCTGGACAGCCTGGGAGTGTAAAAGCAATGCCATGTTAGCTTTGTGTTATCCCAGTGCTTCTCAACCTGGGGGTCGCAGATGAGATAGCCTTCTTAGCAGATGTTTATATCACGATCGATAACAGTAGCAAAATTGCAGTTATGAGGCAGCCACAAAATAATTTTATGGTTATGAGTCACTACAACGCGAGGAACTGTGTTAAAGGGCCGCAGCCTTAGAAAGGTCGAGAGCTGCTGCATTGTTGCCTGTTCGCTTGTTTTAATCGCTGGGGTTGTACTTTGGAGTTATTTGTTCCCATATAGAGATACTGGTGTATTATTCAATTATCAGAGTTAATCATGCACCGTTCAGTTCTGTCACATCTGCTTAATGGTTCTATTAGAAAAATAATTTTCTTGATGGATGTATCTGCTTAAGTTTTTTTCTTCTTCTTCTTTCGTTTTCCTCATCTAGTTAAATGACTGGGTTCTGAATTAGAAGCCTTGCCCCTAGTAAAGTACACTGCGAGGAGCAAGCCTCCCAAATGACATAGGTTTTCTACCTTGGAAACTGACAGCTACCACATACAGATGGCAAATCAGATACACTGGAGATAGGGTTTCACATATAGGCTGTTTACAACACACACACAAATTGAGGAAGGAGTTGGGCTGACTGACCAACCTTTTGAAGCTTGGGAGGATAGCTCAGAGTGTCCATCCTGTGGCACAAGCGCTTGGACAACCTAGGACTTCACGTGTGTGCCACATGTACGTGAACCGGCTATGTCACACCGAATGTCTCCTTTGCTTCGGGTATCAATGTGTTTCTCCTGTTCCTTCAGGTAGAACGTCATGACATGAATACCCTCAGCCTCCCCCTGAACATCCGCCGAGGGGGTTCAGACACCAACCTCAACTTCGACGTCCCAGATGGTATCCTGGACTTCCACAAGGTCAAACTCAACGCCGACAGCCTGAAACAAAAGATCCTAAAGGTGACGGAGCAGATCAAAATTGAGCAGACATCCCGCGATGGAAATGTCGCCGAGTACCTAAAACTCGTCAGCAGCGCGGACAAGCAGCAGGCCGGGCGGATCAAGCAGGTTTTCGAAAAGAAGAACCAGAAGTCAGCCCACTCGATCGCCCAGCTGCAGAAGAAGTTGGAGCAGTACCACAGAAAGCTGAGAGAGATTGAACAGAACGGGGCCTCTCGCAGCTCAAAGGAGATTTCTAAAGACAGCCTGAAGGAGATACACCACTCCCTGAAGGATGCCCATGTGAAATCTCGAACTGCTCCCCACTGCCTGGAAAGCAGTAAGTCGAGCATGCCGGGGGTATCCCTCACGCCCCCCGTGTTTGTCTTCAATAAGTCCAGAGAATTTGCCAACTTGATCCGGAATAAGTTTGGCAGTGCTGACAACATCGCTCACTTGAAAAACTCGCTGGAGGAGTTCAGGCCCGAGGCCAGCACCAGGGCCTATGGAGGCAGCGCGACCATCGTGAACAAACCCAAGTATGGCAGCGACGACGAATGCTCCAGCGGGACGTCAGGCTCGGCAGACAGCAACGGGAACCAGTCCTTCGGCCCTGCTGGGGCCAGCACACTGGACAGCCAGGGGAAGCTGGCCATGATCGTAGAGGCGCTGAGGGAGATCAAAGACACCCAAACCCAGCTGGCAGAGGACATTGAGGCGCTGAAGGTGCAGTTTCAGAGAGAGTATGGCTTCATCTCTCAGACTCTGCAAGAGGAGAGATACAGGTACGTAGGTCAGAGTGTTCCGTTGGGATTCCTTTCGCGACGTGAGTTACCAGCCAGAGAGGCTGCCTGCTTCAAAGTCGCACGCTAATGAATGTGTTTGCAAGACGTAGAGATGTGGGGGCAGAGGCATTTAAAAATTGATAATTCTTCCCATCCTTCATGACTCTTAAGTTCCATAATTTCTGGCTTATGGCTGACAGTTAGAGGAAGACATTATATGCGTGGGTCTCTTAAAACATCATCAGCCAAGCTGTGACTCACGTGCATATTAAGACATTGATTCATCAGGCATCTGCGATGGTCTTATTGCACTAGAGACCTGTTTCCCTTCATAATGCCAGTCAAGTGAATCTGTGTCATTGGACAATGAGGTAGGTTTTTATTTGGTGTGTCAGCTTCAAATATCCATATTTTGTTCACTAAACTTATTTTTTAGCTTTACATGGATTGGAGGGGTGGTTCAGTGGATAAATGGTATTGCTTGCCATGTAAGAATGAAGACGTAAGTCCAGATAGTTGGCACCCATGTAGAAAGTGAACTTGGCAGGGCAGGTCTGTAACCCCAGCACTGGCGGGGGGGGGGGGCTCACAGAGACAGCACAGACAGCACAGGTCTGTAACCCAGCACTGGTGGCTGTAGAGATAGGCAGATTCCTGGAACTTGCTGGCTGGCCAGCCTAGCCAGGTTCAGTGAGAGGCCCGATCTCAGCAAATAAGGTCAAGAACGACTAAGGAAAACCCCTGGCTTCAACCTCTGGCCTCTATACACACCCACATCACAGATATAAATATGTACACACACACACACACACACACACACACACACACAAGCATTTTACTGTGAATGAGAGGCTCTCAAACACCATCTTGAGATTAATCCAAATCTTCTGGGGTCTTTCAGCTGCTTGTGAAAGTATGTGTTTTGTAGACTGGCATTTATATGCACACTGCTTCTTAATAAAGAGTGTCGATAATCAAATATGAGATTATTTGCCCCATTTTGCTCATGAAAAGATCCTCCCAAAGTACTTCAGTCAAAACAGGCTAACGTCTAAGAATATAAAATAGATTGTGAATGTTCATTACATACTGTAACAGTTAAGTTGTAAATTTAACTTACACACTGTTTTACACTTGATGGATAATTTTATGTCATACTTTAGAATGTGGTTCTTTTCTCGTTTTTATGAAACTTGATTGTGATGCCAAGGTTTGAACCCAGGGCCTCGTGTATCTTAAGTGCATGCTGTACCACTGAGACATATCACCAACCCTGAAGCCATCTTTTAATTTTGCATATGTATCTTTGATTTCAGCATGTTCGTCACACAAGAACTGTGTTTCAAGCCACGGCTTGCCAAGAATGTGTTGACCTTAATTTCATCTAGATAGTTTGAGATAGAGTGTGTTTTGGACGCATGTCTTATCCCAAATCACAAATACTCACTTTGTGTGAGTTTTTGGCCGTCTTTGCTTTCATGTGTCCTGTGTTTTGTTTGTGATCCTGGCGATACAGTCATTGGTGCATTATGTAAGAAACTTAAGAAGGCTTGCCTAGATCCATGTTAACATTTGGCACCCATGAAGCTGAACCTGAAGATAATCATTAAATCTGAATTAAGCCTTCACCTGCTTTTAAAAAAGTGATTCAATCAGAAGACCTACATAAATATGTACAACTGGCCTGTACCAGTCATTACAGGCTAAGACATCGTCCCTAGATACCATCCCCTCTTTAAAGTAGGCAGGACAAAGTTTCAGATAAGACCCAAATCCTCTTCTCTAGGGTGGGTGTGGGAAAGGAGCTGTCTTTCTCTCGCTTTTGGGTTTTTGAATCTGCTGTTCCATAAGCCATCTATAATTTGTAATGAACTTCAGGGTTTTTTTTAAAAGATTTGTTTATTTTTATTTTATGTGTATGAGTATTTTGCCTAGAAGTATATCTGTTCACCATGTATGTGCAGTGCCCATGATGCCAGAAGAGAGCATCAGATCCCCCAGAACTGGAGTTACAGACAGTTGTGAGCTACCACGTGAATGCTGGGGTTTGAACCCCGGTCCTCTGAAAGAGGAGCCAGTGCTCTTAACCACTGAGCCATCTCTCCAGCCCTTGGGGTTAGTTATTTATTAGCACGTAAAGTGAAAGAGCTGAAAGGCATGTCAGGGTGTATACTGTGAAGTGGCAGGATTGACCACAGGAATGGAAAACTTCATTCTTTTCCTCATGAACTATGTGACCATGAGATCCCAATTACTGGTGGGCAGGGGAAGGAGAAGCCATTGCAAACGTGGCTGGTCCTGGCTTGTCCCTGCTGCACAGCTCTCTCCCAGCTAGGGGCAACTGCATCCTTGGCAAAGTCCATCTGTCGTCATGGCAGCTCTTCCAGGTGCTGGTCTGGCATGGGTGAAAAAAAAAATCTAATTAAAATAAAAGTTTGATCTCATTAAAGCCTTAGAAATGAGGACATACAGTTAAGACTGCAGAGACAAGCCAGGCACTGCCTTTAATTCCAGCACTCGGGAGGCAGGGAGGCAGAGGCAGGTGGATCTCTGTGAGTTCAAGGCCAGCCTAGTCTACAGAGTGAATGCCAGGACAAACTCCAAAGTTACACACAGAGAAAGCCTATGTCTTTAAAAAAAAAAATCAAGACTGCAGAGACAGGTCCCTTCTACAGTTGGGATTCAGGGGTAACCAAAACTGTGTTCCCCACAAATAGACCTACTCTTTCAGAAAGACAGTCCTCTGGGGAATGAAAACAAGCCAGGGACACCCCTCAGACAAAAAAAGAGACATCCTTCTAGAACGCACTGTTGGAACGCCTGTGCGATGCACTCAGTATCGGCTCCTGTCTTTTTAAGGTATGAGAGGCTTGAGGACCAGCTTCACGACCTGACAGAGCTGCACCAGCATGAGACAGCCAACCTGAAGCAGGAGCTAGCCAGCGCCGAGGAGAAGGTAGCCTACCAGGCCTATGAACGCTCGAGGGACATCCAGGTATGGGCCCCTTCCCGAGTGAACCCTGGTGTAGGGTTTTCTTTTCCTGGCAGACTAACTCGATAGTTTCCTTGTGCATGTGGGGCGAGATGTCTTCTCTACACAGACATTTCCTGTCCACCTCCTGGCCCTCCTGACGTGTATTGACAGTGTTTCTGAGATAATTTACCCTGTGCTCCTGTTGTCTAACCCAGTTGGCAAGGATGTATCGCCGGCCTAATTCCGACACCACCGAAGTGTGATGAAATGCCCAGTGTTAGGCAGCTCCGCCTTAAGGAGGCTTCCTGAGTTGGCTGGGAGCAATCAAGAGTCGCCTTCCATAGTACAGCTACAGTACCCCTGAAATCCAGTCCTGCTGTGCCCCACTAGCTGGGGTAGGAGGTGGGGGTGGGGTGGCAGTCAAGCATTCTGGGGTAAACATGGGATTTGAGTCCCAGGTCTATTATTTACCAACTGTGGTTCTGAGCAAGCCTTGAGTCTCTTCTTTAAAGCAATTGCTTTATATGTGTAAGAATGGCAAGCCTTTGACTGCCAGTGTCTACCTAAGTACTGTATGGGTTTCTTCTTCCTCCTCCTCCTCCTTCCTTCCTTCCTTCCTTCCTTCCTTCCTTCCTTCTTCCTCCTCCTCCTTTCTTCTTCTTCTTCTTCTTCTTCTTCTTCTTCTTCTTCTTCTTCTTCTTCTTCTTCTTCTTCTTCTTCTTCCTCCTCCTCTTTTTCTTCTTCTTCTTCTTCTTCTTCTTCTTCTTCTTCTTCTTCTTCTTCGTCTTTTTCTTCTTCCTTCTTCCTTTTCTTCCTCCTTCTCCTCCTCCTCCTTCTCCTTTTCCTTCTCCTCCTCCCCCCTCCTCCCCCTTCTTCTCCTTCTATGTACTCAATAGCCCTTGGAGATTGCTCCTATTGTTGACCTCATTTCTCAGGTCTGGAGACCGAGGCACAAAGAGGCACAGTGACCTGAATAAGACATGTCAAGCTGTCCCTTAGGACTGGCAAAGAAGGCTGGACTGAACGGGATAGGCAGGGCCCAGAAGGTTGACAGGAAGGGCTGAGTAGATCCACAGAAAGCTTATGTCATAAGCAAAGGCCAGCTGTGAGGCTTCCTCCTGGATCCCTCATGCTGCTGTGAAACAACCCGCGCTTCTTGCTAAAGAAACCATAAGAACAAATAGGGAGAGTCACGCTCAGTCTCACTTATTCAGATTTTCTCTATGGTGGGTGTATGAGTGTCAGGAAGGCCAACCACCGCTGAATACCACCCCACAGGGGAGAAGACCAACGCATAAAAGATGGCCGGTCTCTCCCAGGCGCGTGTGCTGCAATCCGGCCTGTATTCTTCTCTGGTGGAGGCTGTGTTTGCTGATGCCAGAGGTCTGCTCGGACAGTTCTGGGAAGCAGGGCTTCAGAGCTGACAGGAGACATTTGTCCCCGGAGAGCAGAGGATACTGGAGTACTGGCTATTCTCTGAGTGAAGAGCCTTGGCATCTCCACTGGCTGGCCTGGAGAACTAAACTATCGTCTATAGTCACTCTATTTAAAACATATTCTATTACGTTTACTCGTGTGTGTGTGTGTGTGTGTGTGTGTGTGTGTGTGTGTGTGTATGTGTGTGTGTGTGTCACAGCACACGACGTATGATTACAGAACAACTCGGGGGTGGGGTCAGTTCCTCTTTCTGCCTGTGGTTCTCAGGAATCAAATTCAGTTCGTCAGAATTGGCAGCAAGTGCTTTTAGCTACCGAGCCATCTCAGCAGCCCCGAGGCCATCCTAATTTCGAACAGGCCTGGGATATCACAGGGTGGTGTCTAAATGTGTCGTTTCCTCACTTAGGAGAAGGTTTGGGTTAACATTGTTCTCGTTATCTTAAGAAACCTATTCCGGGAGTGAGGAGGTCAGATCCAGGGAGGGGCTCCCCCAACGGGAACTCTAACTTCAGAAGAGTTCTTTTCAGCGGTTCCCAGCTCCGGTCTCTAGTCAGAACTAGAAAGAACATCTGGATAAATGGCAAAGGTCGCAGAGGCTCAAAGCGGGGCTCTACTACTCGGTCTCTGTGTGAGCCTGGCCAAGTCAGTGCCGCGCACCTCCAATGCCTTGTCTTCAAAAAGTCCGGAAGATCAAATAGAATCCGATATTTATTGTCCCAGAATCTTCGCCAGGCACATACTAAACAGCCAAGAAGTTAATGCTGCTATTCCTTTTTATCCTCCTGTTGAGGAGCAACTTTCCCCAAAGGCTTTTAGCTATTGATCCTCTCCAGTTTCCTCTTCGTTGCTGATGTCCTTGGTTCTTGTAAGTGGGCTTCCAACAGGGCTGGGCCGCCATGGTGCCTGTGGCGGGTGCCCACAGACCCACACAATTTCTGCCATTCTTTTAGGCGACTGACCCTCCCGCCCTCTTCAAAGTCCTGAATATCCAGTTTAAACTACTGAAGATAATCCCTTCCTCTGTCTTCATCTAAAACAAGTGAAATGCTGGACCAAGGATGTCCTAGCCCTCGCAGGGCTTAATATCTCTCGGTGCCATGGACAGATGGCCTTGTAATTCACTTACCTAATTTTCTTGGCTTTTTCTTTTAGTAAAGATGAATTCTAAGGTTAGTCTGAGGAGATGTGGACCTCTCTATCGTAAACTGAGTAAAAGGGCCGAAAATGACAACCCTCTGTCTTGGTCTGTCACCCTTTCACGCCATGCCTAAAATGGAGGAAAAAAAAAAAAAACCTGGGCCCCACAGCTGAAAGCAAGCCCGCCCTCCCGCACATGCCCGTTAGTGCCGACAGCCAGCACCGTTTAAATGTGAAGAGCTGAAAAAGTTGTATCCTCTGGTCGGGAGCCTAGTATAATGAAAGTTGCTATAGTAACGGAGAACCCTGTTCTTTGGCCCAGAGAGTATATTCAAGCAGGAGAAAAGAAAATCAATGCTGGAGCCATTATACTTGCTTAAAGCCCGGAAAGGTGACTGGACCCAGCTGCACAAGCCCATTGGCCGATGATTGCAGCCAGCCGCGCTGGCGGAGGTGCGGGCAGGCCGCACCACCTCTTGCAAGGTTCTTTGTTCTCAGGGGCCCAGGCTGTCCTCTGGAAACTGACATCCTGGTGCTGGCAGTCAGCTAGGCTCTTCAGCCAGGATACAGCCCCTGCCGCACACAACGCCACCCTGATCCGAGGTGGACCGACGGTGGGCTTAGCCCCTCTCTGCAGGCAACCTGTGTGTCTCCCAGCTGTGCAGGAAGGCTGACTGGAGACTTGCTGGGTCAGGGAGGGCTGCCCTCAGGAAACGTTGCTGAGGATGAGACCTCTGAGATACTTGGCCTATCTACAGGTGTAGAGCGGGGATGCTTAAGTGTTTCCAGTGGTACATACTCTGTGAACAAACTCCCCCAGCATTTTCAGCACCTGGAAGTAATCAGTTTGACCAGCGCCTTGTGTGAAGGCAGGAGAAGATGACTGAGCACGGGCTAAGCGAGTTTTGGGAACGTGTTATGAAAAGGGGTGTCGGAGGTGTGTATCTTTCAAAGGTCGCTTGGGCTATTACAGGGAGTGTGAGTTGTGGAACACCAGGGTGTGAAACTCATGTCAAAGCCCGGCAAGCAAGAGGTCCTGGCGACTCTGGAATGAGGACTGTATGAGAGGAAAATGGATTAAGATAGATAATGGGCGCTGTATTGGTAGAGCCAGCTGATGGATGGACAAGAGACAAGTCAAGGGGTGCTCTTGAGCGTCTGTCCTAAGAGTTAGCTGTGTTCAGATGCGACTCCACCCCCCTTCTCTGTTTGTCCCCGACAGTGACAACAGGTGCCCGTATTTTATGTCACTGTATCTCTTATATAAATGTAGCAAAAGAGGTACGGCAGGGTGTGATAGCAGGGACTCTAACCTCAGATCCCAGCACTTGGGAAAGTTGAGGCAGGGGGATTAGAAATTTAAGCCCAGGTTGGGCTACTTCCCAAGAGACCTTGCACCAAAATAAATAAATAAATAGATAAATAAATAAATACGAATCACCATAACTGCTGTCTTATGGTGTTTGATGGTTTTATACACGTGTGTACACTACCCATGACATGGTAAAGGGAATCTTGGGATTCCTGCCTCGTACCTCTGTCTCTCACCATCAGTTTGGAGACTTGAAACCACCTGGGCACTAGGTGTTCCGAGCCAGGGGTTCCAGCACATCTGGGCGTGTGTTCCCACGAGGCCTGCGATTCCAACGGTATTTGATTCCTTGCTGTCCTCTTGCCTGCAGGAAGCCCTGGAGACTTGCCAGACGCGCATCTCTAAGCTGGAATTGCATCAGCAGGAGCAGCAGACCCTGCAGACGGATGCCGTGAACGCCAAGGTGCTGCTGGGGAAGTGCATCAACGTGGTTCTGGCCTTCATGACCGTCATCCTGGTGTGCGTGTCCACCCTGGCCAAGTTTGTCGCGCCCATGATGAAGAGCCGCTTCCACATCCTTGGCACCTTCTTCGCCGTGACTCTCCTGGCCATATTTTGTAAAAACTGGGACCATATTTTGTGCGCCCTAGAGAGGATAATAATCCCGAGATGAGCCACTAGTTCCCGCCGTCATGTCCTCTCAAGTTTTTATTTTGAAGAAAACTCTGTTGCAGACTACCAAATTTCTGAATGAACGGCTGTGCCAAAGACGGCGAGAAGGACTGAAACTGTGTGATGTAAATAATTAGCGCCTCCTAACCCGGTAGCAGCTGCCAACACAGTCCCTGTCCGTGGTTAACGCCAAACTGCCCCCAGAGTTCTCCCCACATCGCTCACGGCCTTAATCAGAGCAGATCTCCAGCCCACCTGGCGAGCCGGGCACGGTAGAGCCCCATTCACAGAGCGCTTGGCACAAAGAGCGACCCAGAGGAACGAGCCTCCCTGTGTTTCCCATGAATCTCTGTCACATTGAGCTTCATGGTTGCTAACAGCTGTGGGCTCTCTGAGCCCCACAAACAGCAAGGATATGGCAGGACTGGGGGAAGCGAGCAAACACAGGTTACGGGCAGTGTTGAGTGCTTGGTGGTGGTGGAGGGGTCTGTGGAAGCTCAGTCAGTCTCTGTGATCTATCCCCCTTGTCCACAGGTGGCGCTGCGTCCTGTTATGTGCCCGGTGTTCACATTGGTCAATTGCGTCTGTCCCTGTACCACGCAAATCTTAGAGCTGCTTCTCCGGCAGAAGTCTGCCTAACCAGTAGCCTCGCACTTTACACAGTAGACACTAGAATTTACAAATGGGCTCACCTCTTCTTTTGCCCAGGAACCACACACCCGACTTCATCTCACCTGGCTAGCAGGGCCCTGCCCTCGGAGCGTTCGGCCCGTGCTTTTGTCCAACTCTGGCTTTGATAGTGCGGGATGCTGCGAGCATCCCTGGGAGGCTCATGATCAATCTGGCAATGGCTAGCTGTGATAAATCCCCTTAGAGGATGGCATGCACTTTTCGTGATTCGCTTTTCTCTCAGGACCTCTGAGATCAGAGTCCAGGAAGTGAAACCTGGCTCGTGTCGCCAGGTATTATTTTCCTTGTAGATAACAAAATCAAACTTCATCCATCATATGTGTGCTGAGGCAGGTCCCTGGAGGCCTAAGAGGGATGTGAACTCTTGGTCTGATCGGATGGTGGCTAGGTGAGTGGGAGCCCTTTACCCAGATGAGGTCAGGAGGGTCTAGTTAGGGATGCAAAGGGCAGCAAGAATAAGATGAATTAAATCCAGTGTTGAAGCTCGGTTGCTGTCTGTCCTGTAGGCACGTAGTAGGACAAGTTCTGAGGTCACAGGATAAACGCACTGCCAGTGAGCAGAAAACGTGCAAGAGCCGCTGCCTTCGGTGACTGTCGTTTACTGATGAAGCACAAAGAGGAGAGAGAAGGTTGTGCTGGATTCTGCCAGTCAGTTCCTGGTCCTCCCATTGCACCTGCCAAAGGTGTAAAGGTGCCGTTAAATGTTTACATTCTCCTGGAAAATGCTCTCAAAGATCTAAGGATCATCACTTGCAAATGGCTGTTCTTAGGGACGTTCTCGGGGGGGGGGGGGTTAAAAAAAAGCAAGCAGTTTTTTAGAACAAGTCCAGCTTATGTGAGTGGGACTCACAGAACTCCAGCCTTTGCCCCCCCCCACTCCCAACTTTTAAATCAATAATTCAGCAATTTTAGAAAATTCACAAAGTATTTAACCATCACTCTAACCGATTCCAGAGTCAAGCTTTTAAAATATCATAAACATCATGTAGAATAATACTTGGAAACCAGGGATGGGGGGGGGTTCCCAGCCCCACTCCTATCCATGACTCTATCCCCACACGGGACAGATGGAGGTTTCTAGTTCAAGCAGGGAGGAAGAGAGAACCATGATCTGCCTGCTCCCTTACCTGGAGGCATCAGACTCCCTCTGCCTACGCCCTGAAGCAAACTGGGCCATGCCCGTCCCCCACTGTCGTTTGTCAATATTTCCATGTGGCACTTACAACATGTCAGGGCCTGGGGTGGTTCTGAGTGCTGCTGGTAGTTTACAGAAACAGTATGAATTCAGCCTGAGAGGCTTAGTTAGGTCTCCAGGAGAACCCAGGGAGAGCAGGCTTATTCTCATGCCGGCACACACCCGACCCCTGCACAGCCTAGCAGGACTCTCTTGTCTGACACTCTCAGACCTGTGAGGGAGTAGAGGAGGAAGTTAGAGCCAGCATGCCCCACGCCCTTCAGTCTGAGCTCTGGGTAGAATCTCTTAGGAACGGGCACTGTCCTGAACTAATGGAGTGGGGGCGGGGGGGGGCCACCCAAATCATCATGGATCCCTTCTAAAGAATTCATTGAATTCCATTGGCTCCAACTAAATGTCAAATCACCTTCTTTACCTGGGTATGCCCAGCCCATCTGGCACCCTTGCTTCGATCTTACGGAAGGTTCATGACGTGTTTTATTTTTTTAGGAAGATTGCAGAGTTCAAGAAGACTTTGATCGGGCAGCGCGTTATTCTTCTCTTAAGGGCTATAACCCACTCTTTTGCTCTCTTGAACACATAGCATACACACTGAAGAAATTAATTGTATAAATACCTAACTAGAGACAGTGGCACAACTGTGACTTACCTTGGGACTGGGACTGGTTCACAACTGAGTCAGCCAGTCTTGCTTTGCACTTGACGTTGGTAATAAACATCTCACGTATTTCTCGGGGGTGGGAACCGTTTGAGATGAGCAGGCAACTACCTGCTCCTTTAGGGACACTGGCGAGGCATTCCAGATGCTGGACTCTGGATCTTTGGTGACATTATCACGATCGATCACCAGCATCGTGATTACCGAGGGCAAAACAGAACTTAAACATATTAAGAATAGCAAATATGAAAAATGTTCCCTCTGTGGGTTTTGAATTTTTCAGCTCATATTTTGTATATGATTAATCTGGAATAGTCCCCCCCCAAAAAAATTTTTTTTTGATGTGTCAATGAAAGTACTCTCGCTGATTTTTTTTTTTTTGACTGTGAACACAGCAGCCCCCATCCCAAGCTCCTGGCTTGTGGCTTAGTAGTGTTCAGGTCTTCTGGACCCTGTCGGCTGCCGTCATTCACATTAACATGCTGACACTCTTGGTTTTATTTAAGGATTGCCCTCTGTGTGTACTAACTGCCCTGCCTCTGACAGCAGGCTTTAATACAGGTCGGAATGTGCTGAGGGAGATGTTTGCCCCGCAAACAACTAATTACTTTGGTTCTTGGGCGTTGATTTTGACATGCCAAATTATTTTGTGTTGTATGGGAGTGTACAGTGGGTTTTGTTGTTGTTATTTTGCTTTAGTGTTGAATCCGGATCTAATTGTTTGGGTTTGGAATAACACGTGTGCTTATTGATAAGGACGAGTGTGGTTTAACAACCTAACTTGCATGTTTCCTTACTTTTGACCTTAGACTGGGGGAACGACTACAGGGGAATGTGGAGAGAGGGTTTAGAGTTAGCAGGTAACTTTTGAGGGGTCTAAATGGACAGATTACAGGAAACAATCAGATCGGCCTGTTTGTATCAAAAATAAAGAGCTTTAAAAAAAAGATGTGTCAATGACAGAAACTGGGTAACTTGTTAGAAATAAAGCAAAAATTCCGTTTTCTGGCTGTGGATTCAGTTCTCTGCTGAAAGAGGCCAGAAGAGGTGTGACACCTTGCGTGTTTGAGGGTGGTCTACATGTTGCCCTTCACATATATTTAAAAGCATGTCTACTGTGTTTGTCCTAAAAGAAACATTTCAACTAAACGTGCTCTGTGTTTAAGATGTGCTGGGGCAGTAGCAGCAACCCTGAGTGTCATGTCAGGGATGCTGACCGTAACCTCCGCCGCAGAATTCCCATCTTGTGGGAATGCTACCTAGTCCTGTATCTGCCTAAAATTGTAATTTCTCGGTAGATCTTCCCCCATGGTGGTGTCACCAATGAATTCAAAGCAGGTGCCATTATTTTTTAAACACTTGATGTTTGCTTTGGTGTTGAATAAAAGAACTAGATTTCTTAAATTTTTACAGTTGTCAGAGCCCATCTCTGTAGTATGTGTGTGTGTGAGAGAGGGAGGGGGAGAGAGGGAGAGAGCATGCATGTGCACACACGTGTATGTAAAATAAATTTATAATAGACTCTTAAAAAGCAGCTTTAGATTTAAAGGGAAACTGAGAAAGCTGTGTAAAGATATCTCTTTAATATCCTGCCCCTACATGCACACCCTCACTCCCCAGGATCAACATCCCCCACAAAGCGGTACCTTTTATTTTCAATGTGTAGGCATGAGTGTTTTGCCTGCATATATATGTACACTATATATGTACCTGGTGCACACAGAGGTCAGAAAGGCATGTCTGATTCCCTAGAACTGGAGTTAGTGATGGCTGTAGGTCAGAAAGGTATGTCTGATTCCCTAGAACTGGAGTTAGTGATGGCTGTAAGCTACCATATGGGTCTCGGGATTCAAACCCAAGTCCTCTACGAGAGCCACGGTGCTCTAATCCACTGAACCAGCCCTGCAGACCTCGGCATGGTGCGTTTGGTACCAGCTGAGGAACCAGCATTGTCCCATCATTATCCCCAGAGTCATCATTCATATGAGGGATATTCTTGGTTTCATTCTATGGGGTTAGACAAATACATATACAAGGGCATATATTAATTGTTGTAACATACATTCCTTAAAACATCCTGTGTCTTACCTGTTTATCTACCCCTTTAGTCAACTTTAAAACTAGTCTCCATGCCTTCTGTAGAAAGTTGGTGTCTCGAAATTTCTATTGCTGCAACAAAGACCATGACCAAAGAGCAAGTTGGGGAAGAAAGGGTTTATTTAGCTTACACTTCAGCATTGCTGTTCATCACTGAAGGAAGTCAGGACAGGAACTCACACAGGGCAGAATCCTGGAGACAGGAGCTGATGCACAGGCCATGGAGGGGAGCTGCTTACTGGTTTGTTCCCATGGCTTCTCCGACTCCCACCTTCTTGTAGAAAGAACCTGGGATCAACAGCCCAGATATGGCACCACCCACTGTTGAGCAAGTGTCCTTGTGGTATGAGTATGCATCCTTTGGGTATATGCCCAAAAGTAGTACTGCTGGGTCTTGAGGTAGATTGATTCCCAGTTTTCTGAGAAATTGTCATACTGATTTCCAAGGCAGCTGTAAACGTTTGTACTTCTATCAGCACCCTAATTTGCTTTTTGTTGGAAGTATTTTATTAAAGCCACAGAAATGAAACCTGGACATATTAAAACCAGAAAATAGTGCTTTATTCTTTAGCAGGTTCAGTATTAGCTAGAAAAAAAAAATAAGGTGGAGAAGTGGGAGAAGGGGAGGGGGAACTGGGATTGGTATGTAAAATAAAAAAGATTTTTTTTAAAAAAAAAAGGGAGGGGGAAGCAATGTAGGGAAGAAAGGGGTTTGCTTTGGCCTACAGTTCCAGATTACAGTCCATCATTGTGGGGGAGTCAAGGCAGAAACTTTAATTAGCCAGGTTCCGTGCAGAGTCAAGAGCAGAGAAGAATGAATGCATGCATATTCATCTGTAGCAAGCTTTCTTGTCAGACTGTCTTTGGATTGCCAGCCTCCAAACAACGACATGGAGACTTCTTATTCATTATGAAAGCTTGGCTTTTAGTTTAGGATTATTTCCAACTAGTTCTTATAACTCAAGTTAACTTGCTTCCATTAATCTAACTTTCTGCCACGAGGTTTTTACTTTTCCTCAGTACGGCACATCCAACTTACTCGAGTCTGCTGGAGAAGTCCACACACCTAGATTCCTCTCTCTGTCTCTCTGTCTCTCTGTCTCTCTGTCTCTCTGTCTCTCTCTCTCTCTCTCTCTTGTGCATGCGCCGGAAATCCCACCTATCCTCTCCTGCTTAGCTATTGGCCGTTCAACTCTTTAGTACACCAATCACTGGAATGTATCTTCACACAGTGTACAAATCTCACACACCACTCACCGGCTTCCTCCTTGCACCCAGCTCAGTTTCTCTGCCCATGCAGTTCAGAACCCCTGCCTCAGGAACAGCAATACCATGGTGAGCTGAGGCTTCCTTCCATCAGTTAACTTTAGACCGTCTCTACAGACATGCCCACAGGCTGACCCAGTGTAGACAAGCCCTCAGTGAGACTCTGCCCAGGTGAGTCTAGGTTGTGTCAAGCTGACAATAAAAGCTGCCCGTCACACATGTGCACTCAGGTGTAAAAGAAACATGGTCCTGAGCAGCTGAGAATGTTCACACGTGGTGAAGTAATAGACCCTAACAGTATTTTATAAAAGTCTCTGGGTTTGCAATCATAGATGATAGAATATCTTCAACACCTCTCTCCCCATACAGTTACTCTACATGTGGCTAACGCAGGTAGGAGGTTGTGGGATACACAGGAACCATGGCAATGCCAAATAGATACGGTATAGATCAGAGTTTCTTACTTCCCTCTAGCAATTCCTTTTGTCTGAAAAATTGTTGTGTGACCCCCCCATGTGTACATGTATATAATTTAGAAATACAATTCCAACATTTACTGATAATAAATCAGGTATATATGTATATAAGCTAG